AATTAGTACCAACATAAAAACATCACGATTATTGTGAATAGCAAGAGCATTATCTCAGGTACTTCAAAGCAAGAAAGTTAGAAAATACAATAACTGATTCGCTTACAAGTTTTTCATGTTAGAAGCTGCTGTTTGTTGACTATGTCATACGAATTATGGAAATGCAAATTGGTTATAGCTCAACGTAGTTTTATGGCATGATACAACTGCATCTACCTACAAGAGTCGTATGTCCCCAGTGATAAAAGCAATTTATAGACAAAGCTTAAAAGTGGCATTGCAGAGTAAGTTATATAAAATTTAACTAAAATTAAGGTTCGTAACATACCCTCATTAAGTCTTAAAACAACTAACACTTAACATCACTAATCACAGTTGACATTTGACAGCTGTCTTGTTTGACTGATTTCACGAGCCGTTACTACTTTCGTTACTATGGTTTTTAAACACAAAAATGGTATGTAAAACTACTTGCATCCATAACAACCATGCGCCGACTTCAAAATCTTTCCTTTCCTCAGCGCGATCAAATACAAATAATGGAAAAATAAGATCCGACGAACAATAGTACTTATTATGAACGTAGAAAACTATTTACTCCTTTTGGGTACATCGGTTGCACCCTGATTTAAGTAGGCTATCCACTAAATTAAACTAATTCTGTCCACCTTTAGTAAGTTTTCACAAGTAATATCCAAAGAGGTTTAAAAGTTCTAATTTACAAACCTACACATCTAATAGGGGTAATTTTCTTTAACTCAATGTAAGGTTTCTTCCTTCACATACACAGGGTCGCTGATAAGTTTGAAAACTGTCGATTATCGGCGAAAATATACCTACAAGATATCGAAATATGTTTTATACAAAAGCTTTGGTGTTCTTCAATGTCTACGAGGCAGTAATAATTTTAATTATATAGGGTTGCTCATAAAGGCGCGGCACACCAAAATTACATTACACGCTGTATATTATTCAATATTTCAATTCTTTTCTCAATTGTACGCAAATTTTGTAATATATTCACATTGTATGCAAGAATTCGCAAGAGGGCTTCGAAATCGTGAAGCGCCGTTCGATTGTGCCTCAATTGTTTGGCTTCTGGCCATATCATTGAGATAGAAAACTAATGGAGGGAATATAATGGTAGAGGGGGTAAGAATTTTTGTAGACGGACGTTGCCACAGATAGAGGCCACTCGCGTGGATAGGTTCCCGTGAAGGTACATTTTGGCCGACATTATTTGACATATGAAAACGCGGGTCCTGTCACTGTCAGTTTTCCACCAAATTCAAATTTTATTAAATTTGCCATTTTAAAGAACCTAATAATTTCGGATCGGTTTGTGCTCTGGTTTATCTAAATAACTAACTGCCGCATAGTGTTTTTATCACACGCAATTTTGTGAATTGAGAATAATAGCTGCGTATCATGCAAAATTTCTCATAAAGGGAAGAAACAGGGCATTTCCTTTCATCGGTAAGACATGTCATTTATCATGTTGTAGGCGAGGTTGTATAGGTTCCTAGTTTATGTTTCTTAGTTTTCCAAACGAACCAGTACTTCGAGCAAAATGGTTACCTAACATTTGTAAATATATCTCAAGAACAGCTCTCGAAATTTGCTTTTGTGCTCACAACGCTTCATTGACTGTGATTTCGACCAAAGGTTGCACCGGACAATGTTCGTCATATATGCAGTAGGTACTATCAAAACTTGTTTTTACAGCTAAACGTGTGAGTTTATAATATGGATATCAGGTGTAAGTTTTTTTACTAGTGCGGATACATTTTGAGACCAATAAACAATAAATTATTATTGAATCTCTCTGCCGTTGTAATGAACCTGAGACCAACCAGTCAATTGTAGCTATTGATCAACACAGTGAATTGGGAGTTGTCAAGTTGTAGTGGCTATAGTAAACTGGCCTTATAATTTATACTACTGGAACACATCGATGTATATTTAGATTTGTAATCAATGATTATATTAAATCTGCATACTTTCCCATCCTTGTCTATTTTGTTTACTTTACCACGAGCACGAGCATATATTTTACTCCTTCTATACGTTTTTTTTTTGTTATTATTCCTATTAGTGGAAAGAAAATTATATCTCTACGCCACTGAAGTGAGACGCTAATGATAACGGAAGTGGTGTGGTACTTTAATCACAGCTAGAGGCCACTTTTGGTTCCCGTGGTCTACGTCTGGCCAAGCATTTGATTCCCTCCATTAGTTTTCTAACTCAATGGGCCATATTCAGGGAAAATGCTTGTGAGATCGGAAGTGTCAAACCTGTGAGATGTCAAGCATCACACTATGTTACATTTACGCTCCGGTATTCTAATCCAATCGCTCAACCTGTCGCTTCGAGCTCCTTTTCCAGTTAGTCGACTTCATGTATTAGTTGTTCATCTACATTTATGGCTGCCAATTCGGGTCGTTTGAGTACATTTATGCTAGAAATTCGAGATAAGTATGTGCTTATCACATCGTTAGAGCCGAGGGGTGTCTCACTTAGGTAAAAAAATGTACATGTACTGCCAATAGTATATTATATACCGCGGGACTGAAGTAGTACTTTTAATCCCGAAGGTAAAGTTAATTTACCTGAGGGATTAAGACTACTACTTCAGTCGCAAAGTATATACGATATTTTTCGTACTTCCGAAACCTAAACAATTAATATGTATGGAGTTAGAGAACGCGTTCTTTCAAAAAATCACTTCTGAACAAGTTACCATAGGAACGTTGCGTTGGTACGACAAACCCTATGATGAATGATGAAGAATTTGGCATTAAAATTAAGCTAGTAGCACATTTCCAGAATAGTTTGTAATGTTTTTCTCATTGCACCATGTGAGAAATCATTCATAAGCATGATTATAAACTCTACTTGACTTCGTTGGAATTAAATCGTTCGTATCTCTTGGCAATTGCAAGAACGTCTGACGGCGTACAGTTAAGTTCGGAATCCGACATAATATGTAACCTGCAAGAAAAATTGGTCAATATCTTTTACTACTTTACTTGATACTCGGGTACTTACCAAAAACGCACAGTTCAAATGAGCTTTGAATGTTCCTGATAATTAATTTGTTGGATTGTCAAAATTTTCTTTCACCATAACAACCGCAAACCACAGCAATCTAGTTTTACATTTTTCAACATTTAACAGCTGCGCTGCAATCTTTTTGGGAATACTCCCTTAATTCTATCGTTCGAACAGCGTTTGCGGAAAAAATTGTATGTTTTATTCGGAGTAAAAGCACTTTTTGTGGCGCGTCTGAAATTGTCGGCCTCACTACGTTCGGCCGTCAAACATTTAAACTTGCCACAAAAAGTCACACTTTTACTCCTTATAAAACAATATACTATTTTATTTTACTTGCTATCATGTAAATACTTAATATATTATAGGTACTTAAGAACATTGTTTGAAAGTCTTGTACTTTGTTTCCAATTGCAACTTTTCATGGCGTTTCAGTCTGAACGGATAGCTGCCTACAATATTAATTATTGGTCCATGAAAAATAAATTCATTTTTGACAACCTAGTTGGGTATAGAAACTCAAGTTCTTTCTTAAGAAATGTAATTTTAAACTTGTTGTTTGGTAAAATTTCGACAACACGACCAACATACCATGTATCACCGTAGAAAACCCCATAGAACTCATCTTGTTTTATATTTGTACAAGAAGTATTGTTTTCATCCCGATTTTGATTGTTTGATATTTCTTTTCCAAGTCAGAATCTGAAATCGATTCGTTTTCGAATTCCCTTAAGAGTTCGCGACGCAGCATAGGGATTTCAATGGTAATTTCTTTATAGTCAATTATTAGGTCCCCTAATTATTTTAGAGCAAAAATCTAAATACGTTTTTTTCAGAGAAAAAAATACTGCATCTGTTCATACTGTTACTTATAATTTTCCGTTTTTCAAAACCGTAGAAATCGACAAAATAAAAAGATACATTTTACAATAAATCAGATATGCCTTGGAATTACCTAAAAAAACAGCGACGTTTCATTATTTGCCTTTGACGTGTGCCTTTGACGTATATTAAATTTATCTCGAAATTTATACTTGTTTATAAATTAGTTAATCATAAAATAAAACTGTTTATCATGTATTTAACTGAAGAAAAAGAGGAAATGTTAAAGTTGTTTTATGCCCGCCAAGTAACGTCTTTATTTAGTGTGAAGTACCCCAATCGGCCGATTCCAAGCTGTGCCACAGTAGACAGAATTGTGCGCAAGTTTGAAAGAACAGGCACAGTGTTAAATAACTGCAAGTGCAATGATAGGATAGTTTATAAATTCAATGGTGCAATAATGTTCAATATGTTCGTCAAAACCAACAGGAAAACGACAATACATTCAACGTTTTGGCTGCAGTAGCGGAAAATACGAATATAAGTTTAAGAACAATTCTTCCTCAAATCAATTTCTTTTTTTTTTATTCTGTGCTCTGGTTCCAGAAGATGATAAACAAAATAGTATCTGCTGCAGATGCAGCATTACATTCTCTAAAAAAATGATAAATAGTTCGTTATACAAGTTTATTATACAAGACGATAAAGGGATATTTTCACCATTGAGTGAAAGATGTTTCACGAGATGGTTAGTTTCCCTTTATCGTCGTGTATAATACAAAACTATTTTGTAGAAGGCCATATAAATCATTGCAAAGCGTCTGACAATTCTGAATTTAATTTAGAGACGCCATTCGTTGGGACAAAAAGTTATATTGATAGTCTGTTTTTAAGATAAAATCTGAAATAGTGAATACAATAGAATGGGTCTATCTCAATACTATGTACGAAGTCAACAAATATTTTGCTATATTTTAAGTTTAAGTGTGGGAGATATGTTTCGTCCCATGTTTTACTATAATTTTGTTTCCAAAATGTATGCGAACTTTTACCAAAAGCTGCTACGACGAAGATAAAATAACTCCCAAAAAGTATATCTGGCATCTGCAAACAAGATAAATCTGTAATATTCTATTATATTAGTTACGTAATGTTATTTGCTAAGGTACAAAAATAGATTATCACCATTTTATCTGAAATTTGGTATCTGCTTCTTTGTTAAGAGGTACTCAACGTTCTACTATAAATAAACCGCCGTTTTTCAACACCTTCATTGTATCCAAAGCATCTAACCATGAAATTGGTATTGATTGCAGCCCTATTCACTCTCACCTATGCTGCACCTGCTGCAGTCCGTAACAATGTTGTAAGTACCACATTCGCTGCCCGTATTGAGTAACGCTAATTATTTTAATTTTAGCTGAATTACTTAACGCAATTCGGTTATTTGGCAGAGGCTAAGTTAAATAACCCATTATATGTGGTGAAAGCTATCAAGAAACTACAACGCATGGCTCATATTCCCGAAACTGGTGTCATAGACGAGGCAACTATTGAGGTAATTGTACAGTCTTCACGCACACAGTTTGGTAATTGCTTCTGGTTATAGTTTACGAATACACCTCGCTGTGGGGTTCCCGACTTTGAGAATAGTCAACTTCGTGCTTTTGTACCTATGCCATGGAGTAAAAGGAACCTCACTTACTAGTAAGTATTTCGCCAAAGTGTAACAGAATAAAATACAACCAAATTCTTCCAGTTTAGGAAACAAGAGCAGACACCTTACGGAACAAGAATATGGCGACTACCTGAAACTTGCCCTGGATACTTGGGGAAAGCACGCCAAATTAAATTTCACCAGAACATTAGTCGTCGAAGATGCTGATATTGTTTCCTTTTTCGCCGTCAGAGATCACGGATGCGGGTATGTAATATATTTGAGTGCCCAATTTAATTTTGATAATTGCCTCTTTCCAGAACTCCGTTTGATGGAGAAGGCGGTATCTTGGCGCACGGCTTTTACCCAAACTTTTACACACCCCCGAACCCGAAAAACGGAGATATTCATTTTGACGATGACGAACCGTGGACTATAAATGGACATGGTAAGTCTACAGCAGGAATTGTCAGATTACTAAAACGAGTTTTCAGGAAGATATTTCGTTAGAGTTGCGCTACATGAGCTGGGCCACTCGCTTGGATTGGAGCACTCCTCTGTATATGGAGCGATCATGTTTCCGGCGGCGTCGTACAATCGGTCAACAGAACTACATCAAGATGATATCGTTAGGATACAAAAACTATATCCCTAGCGCCACTTACGATAACTGACGCTTTACTTAATTGTATATCTTGTTATCGGTCTAGTTTCGTCATAGTAAATACGCATAAACCTTGAGTTCTTTCTCGCCTACTCGACTTGCCTACGCTCCGATTAGACTTTTTATTGAATAGATATTTACTCCATTTGTAATTGCTATTTTATGATTATTTAATTTATGAAATAGTACCGTTTGAAACCGTTTTAAAAGCAATTCTATTTAGCCCTTCAATTCCTATCTTTAATATTGTAACTATCAATAACAAACATATTTTTTTAGATTTTTTAGATTAATGCGCTCATTGCTAATACGTTGTACCTTTATCTAGCACAGTTACTAATATTCTGCTAGTAAAATTATTATACTATTTTAACCATGATAGTCCCTCCTTTAAACTGCGACTAGTGAACGTATCAGACGTTCTCAGAGTGTTTAGAGCACTTAAATCAAACTCAGTAGGTGCTGATAAAATAAATTTATATTTGTGGAAATTGCGTTTGCCATTTTTAGCACCTGTTATAACTCATATTGTTAATTCTTGTTTAATTGATGGCTCATATCCACAAGCGTGGAAAAGCGCCGATGTCATACCTCTAGGTACCCAAAGTGTGTAATCCTAGTGGGTATAGTGAACTACGCCCTATAAGTATCTTACCATGTATATCAAAAGTACTAGAAAAAATTATTGGTGAGCAAATTCAGGAATATTTATCTCATACAAAGATTCTCCCTGAAATGCAGTCTGGTTTCAGGCCGGGTTATAGTTGCAACACGGCCCTTTTACATGTTACTGACGTTCTTATGTCTGCAATGGACAAAAATGAAATGCCCATTCTGGTATTGTTGGACTATACTAAAGCGTTTGACAGCTTGCTTTTGTCAATTCTCAAATATATTGGCTTTGATAATACCCCAATTAATTTAATTAGAAACTATATCTTTCAGCGCACACAACGTGTGGTTTACCGTGGAAGTGTATCAGAGTCGCTACTTATCACGTCCGGTGTTCCCCAAGGGTCCGTTTTAGGTCCATTACTGTATGTTATTTATTCTAGTCAAATAGTGAAATGTTTAAAATACTGTACATACCATATGTATGCCGATGACACACAATTAATATATTCATTCCCTTTAACTAATATTGACATGGCGAATACGGAAATTAATGCAGATTTGTAGCAACTTGTAACACTTTCCGAAAACCATGGCCTAAAGATAAACACTAATAAATGTTCTGTAATGTTGTTTGGCGCAGGTAAAGCGCATCATGAAAATATCAACTTAATTAAGGTAAAAATAAAGGGCACAGTGCTTCCGATTTCTGATCCATGTCACAAACCTTGGTGTAATATTAGATACAAAGTTTCGTTTTAAAAGATATGTATCGGAACTTCTTCGGAAGGCATATATGAATCTGAAAACGATATTTAATCATAGACATAGCGTCGGCTTAGTAAGAAAACTATGTAAGTCCAAATTTGCTCATTTTACAGGGGAAGGAAAAAACCGTACTAATAATTGGAAATAAGTTCTCTAATCTTTTGTCATTGTAACATATTGTAACGTGATTTATAAATTCGGGTTCGATTTATGTCAATATTTATTAAACAGAACTAAAACACTATAAAATCCGTACAATTTATATCGATTATTTATATCACTCACACTTCGCAATTTATATCAGATTTTCGCGCTCGATGTATACGTACTCGTTCGGTAGTAGACTCCCGCGATGTTCGGTCCGCAACCATTTATACACGCAAGCAATGTAAGTCCCGAACATTCTCGAATACGCGTAGAAAATTCCAGAGCGCTAAAGGCGACGTCATGTCTGGAGCATTTCCGTTACACTGCCCCCTTCTTAATTCTGGACGTCTCGTTCAGAAACTGCGTTAGTATTACTTTTTAATGCCTCGTGTCGGAATCTGCAGTCAGAGCCTGCTCGACAAACACCTTTCTTGAAAAAGTAACAGTCCACAGTTTTGCGGAGGGTCGTCCCCTGTGGGTTGAAGCAGCATACTGTAATTCGAACGCTAGTGTTTCTAAAAATCACTTCTATCATGGTTCGCACTATCTTCCAGTCCGACCCATCTAAACCACATCCAATCTTCGGGATCGCCAAGCTATTTATGTCATAGTATGCCATGAGTTTCTTTAAGTTTTTTAAAGCAGACCAGAGGTTTTCATAGGTGGGTTTGCCTTCTGACGTTTTCTTTGGAACCAAGTAGAACAAAGAGCGTTGACTATCTTCCAAGCGCAGTACTTTACCCACTCGTGGTCTTTGCTTTATCAACTCGTCTATTCTTCCAAATCTTTTCCGGGATACGGAAGCTATACCTCTACCCATGCGAAGGTCTTCGGCTACACAATGGGCGATGGAAACGTTAACCGGAAGCTCAAAAATATTTTGACAAATTTCCTGAGTAACGCCAAATCGAGCTTTCGTCCGCTGGGCGTAATTTGACATAAAATCGTTAAAGTTTGGCTCGATCCCAAAGCTGCGTTCCTCTTCTCGAATACCTCTAACTTCTTCGTTGTTGTTGGATCCGGCATATCGTGCGAGTCGATTAATGTGGACAACTTTCGGTTTTCGGTGGTTCATTCTGATACGATATATCACGTCATTTATTTCTTGATCACCTCATACGGACCTTCCCATTGTCTTTGTAGCTTGGGAGAAAGACCCCTTCGTCTCTGTGGATTGTGCAGCCATACCAGATCTCCAGCTTCAAAAGTTTCATTGGCCGAGCGGAGGTTGTATTGATTTTTCATGCGATCGCTGGCAATCTGAATATGACTTCTAACCAAGTCGTGAATATCGTTCATCTTCGCCTTTAGTTGGTCAACATAATTTTCACCTGCGACATATTCTTCATGGGGTTTACGCCCAAACTCGAGATCACATGGAAGGCGTAGTTCACGACCCAACATAAGGCAGGCAGGAGTCTGACCCGTGGTCTCGTTGACGGCTGATCGATATGCCATAAGGAACAGGTGGAGGTACTAGTCCCAATTTTTCTGATGTTCTGCCACGACTTTTGAAAGATATTTACCCATCGTTCGATTCATTCTCTCAACCATTCCATCTGACTGAGGATGCAAAGGTGTTGTTCTGGTTTTATTGGCTCCTACCAATCGACAAACATCTTGGAATAAAGCCGATTCAAAGTTCCTTCCTTGGTCTGAATGGATTTCTATAGGAACACCAAAACGTGTAAAGAACTCCTTTACCAACACTTCTGCAACTGTTGCTGCCTCTTGGTTTGAAATGGCGTAAGCTTCAGTCCACTTTGTGAAATAATCCATAGCGACTAGGATATATTTATTTCCGCCATCTGTCTCGGGAAACGGTCCTGCGATATCGATAGCAACTCGTTCCATCGGACTACCAACGTTATACTGCCTCATGGGTGCCTTCTTCTTGGAAACTGGTCCGTTTCCAGTAGCACATAACTCACATTTTTGACACCATCGCCGGACATCTTCTTTACGGTTGACCCAATAGAATCGCTCACGTACCCTTTGCAACGTTTTCGTAATACCAAAGTGTCCTCCAGAAGCGCCGTCATGCGATTTTCGCAATACTTCCGACACTTTGCTTCTAGGTACTACTAATTGCAGCGTCGATTCGGTGCCATCTTCACTTTCAAGGGTCCTATACAACAGGTTGTCTTTCAGAGTCAGGCTATTCCATTGGCCCCAATAACTCTTTACTTCAGGACTTGTGGCACTAATGTCTTGCCAGCCTGGTCTTTGTCCGTGGCGCATCCAATTCAGAACAGTTTTTATACTTGGGTCGTTTTCTTGGGCCGTTTTGATTTCGCTTGGCTTCCATTCCTCACTCTCTACAGTTGTTCGTCGCAGATGGCCAATCTTGTCTTCTATTTTAGAACAATGTGTGCAGTTGTCCTTGCACGGTCTTCTTGACAAAGCGTCTGCATTATTGTGGACTTTTCCAGACGACGAAATGTTTACAGTGAAGATCGGGGCTTTGTTTCTGCAGGTCGACGATAGCCCCTTCCTGTCGACCTTTCTTAGTTTTCCGACTGCTGCAATGGTTTTTGGCAGTTGCGGCGAACGTGTCCAATCTCGCCGTGGTTCACGTTTCTTTGCCAGTGACTGTATTGCTTTATTGACCTTTTCTTCCATTACTTTACTGACCTTTTCTTCCACTACTTTACTGACCTTTTCTTCCACTACTTTACTGACCTTTTCTTCAAAACTTTCAGAGCCACCTTCCTCTTCGATGGTTCTTACCCGGCTCTCACTGCGAGGTTCCACCATACGTACTCGCGCATTTCCATGACTAGCTTTCTTGGCGGCTTCGAATTCTAATGCATAGGCCAAAGCTTTCTCAATTTTGTCGTGCCTAGCCAGTCTCAAAGCCTGCTGGGCATCTCCATCACGAACGGCATCGATAAATGTTTGTACAGCCAGTTGATCAAGAAAGCTTCTCCGGTGCCGTAGGGTATGCCAATCGAATCAGTCTAGCGATGTCCGCTTCAAGTTCCTGCAAACTTTCTCCAGGTTTCTGCATTCGGTTCTTGACTTGGGCATAGTAAACTTGCTGAAGGTGTCTATCGCCATATCGCATTTCGAGTCGCGCTACTATTTGTTGGAAGTTCTGTTGATCCTCGGGGATGGTCCGCAACACATCCAGAGCATCTCCTCTCAGAGCAAGAATCAGGGTTGTAGTTTTGTCTTGAAGAGTCCATTTATTTGCCGCAGCCGCTGCTTCAAACTGTCGAACGTACGTGGTCCAAGGAATCTTACCATCAAAAGTAGGTGGCTTTACTCGAGCTTGCTGAACGTCGCCTTCTACTCTTGTATTTGTTTCTGGGTCGACCTTCTTGTAATGAGTAGGCTGTGGCACCTCAAGAAGACGGTCCATCAGTAATTCATCTGGGGCACTACTAGTACGCTCTTCGGTAGTCAGTCGCAGGAATTGCTCGCGCAGCTCTTCATACTTGTGCTCAATCTCAACGAATGTTGCTTTAAATGTTTTGGAAACTTCCGTAATT